CCATCTGCTGGTTCCCCCAAATGGCCGGGAACTGCATTCAGGTCTCCCTCATGGGTGGCAGAGGCCCAAATACTTGAACCGTCTTCCATCTTCCACTGCTTTCTCAAGCACATTAGCAGGGAGCTGAATCAGAATCAGAGTTGCTGGGTTTTGAGCCAGCACTGGACATGGAATGCCATCATCTCAAGCAGAGGTTTACCCATTGTGCCATGCGCCACCCCATGTGCTGCTCTTCTCTGAAGGTGCAGTACCAGCATCCTTGCCCTGCAGTGAAGCGGATGTCTAGTCCCAGTACTTGCCTCATCCCCCATGCCATCCCTCAGCAGAAGCCAGAACCTGCATCTCAGGAAGAAGGTGAACTGTAGTCTTACTGGCACCAGTAGCCAGGATGAATGAATTTTAGAATAGTATATTAAAACCTGACTTTCTAGAATGAATTTATGGCTAGGTCCAGGTAACTGAAAACGTATGAAATTAAAGCTAGAAGAGTTAAAGCTCAGTAAAGACTTTATCCAAATAAATTAACATCATGTATATGCTTATAATTTATTCCCCAAGAACATTTAAAATAGATTTGAGGGCCCTGACAATAAAATACATATATTCAATAAGCCTGTTAAAGTAGAAATTAAAAATTTAAAAGCCATACAGTAGAAGAAAATATAATCACTTATTAGGTGAATAAAATTGTTGTAATTGGGCATTAAATTCAGCCCCAGTGTTCTTGAATAAATAATTGCTTTTTCTTCCAACTATCCTAAGGTACGTCAAGGAGCTGATTACCACCTTGCATCTTAGAGAGTGGGCCCAGAGCCCTCCTCACGATATGAGGGCATAGGCCTCAGTGCTAAGTTCCATGGGGACAGCAGAGATGAGTAAGGTTCAGGGGTAAGGCTCAGGGGCTGAGGGCAAGTCTTAGTGTAGGCATTGGGCCAGAGGTGATCAGCAGAGCAGAAGGACAGGGCCAGCTTGGATAGTTGAAAGCTTCATGGCTATGCTAAGGAGTCAGTCCCTGTATTGTTATAGATTGATCTAACCCTTAAATTTCTGAGTTATTTTACCAGTCACTAATAATCAATATGTTTAATGTTAATACCATCAGGAAGTATTATTGTCTGTTTAAGGAAAAGAACCTGAGACAGTGGTTGATTTAGTGATGTGACTTCTGTTTTGTAATTAATCAAAGTAGGAACAAGAGTGATGTCTATGTTTACTTTCTGCAATCCCAAATACTGGGCTGTGTGTGTGTGTATGTGTGTGTGTGTGTGTGTGTGTGTGTGTATATATATATATGTCCATATATATATGAAGATTTGGTTTTCAAAAATGATTGCTTTCTAAAAGGAGCCTTGGTAAATGTCACTAAAATGTCGATCTCCTCTATTAACTTGACCATCTGGTCAGAATTTTTAAAATTGGATTTTTACTCCAGAGGTATGAAGATCCAAAGATATAAAAATATCTTTCATAAAGATGTATATGGGTACAGATTTTAATTATATATTCCTAGTTTAGATAGTCCTTTGGTGGGGATCACATCATTGGCCCAGGAGGGGCTATTTTTAATTCCTGTGCTTCCATCCTAAGTAATTAGAATTACTAATTCATGGGTTCAGAATTTTTTTGCACCAAATTAAATTATCTTACGAATTCTGCTTTCCCATGAACTTTTTGAAGTACCTTTGTGTACAGCCTTGGAGAGAATAATTTAATATTTTTTAATGAGCATGAGAGGAAAATATTGACTAGAGCATGTAAACACATTGTACCTACTACCAAAAAAAAAAAAAAAGAAGAAAAAAGAAAGAAAGAAAAGATGTTATCCTTTTACTTTCACTTCTAGACTCAATTCCATAGTGAGAGTCCCTGCACAATATCTGAAATAGAATGGCCTGTCTTCTTGAAGCAGGATCCTGCTTTAATTTGTTTGACCTGTCTTGTTTGTGCTTGGAGATGGATTTCTTGCTTTTGAAACATAAAAGAGCACTGAAAATCTAAAGGGGGAAGGATATTAAAATTAGATAGGTTGAAATATTAAATAAAGTTTGGGAAATTGTCCTTACTTCATCTTATTCCATGGTACAGACTTAACACAGCTTCTCTCCAAATCCAAAGTAGTAGGCCTCATTTTATAAAAGAATGGCAGGTTTGCCTTACCACTACTAGAATGTGTAGTTGCCTGGTCATCACAGTAGTGAATGCTGCAATGTCACCCTAAGTAAAATATAGGAAAACAGCAGAACAGCCACATGTGACGGACAGTACCTGAATTCAGAAATATTTAAAATACTTTATTTAGATGTAGTTTACAAATGATAAAATGTACAGGTCTGAGAGCTTTTGAAAAGTGTATATCCTGTATATACCACCCCAATCAATATCTGAAATATTTCCAACAGCACTCAAGTTTCCTGTATGCTCTTGGTGTAGCCATCTCTCCTTCTAAACCTCCAGAGACCTGATTTCTGTTGCTTCTTGCATGGAATTACACAGTGTATATTCTTGGGATCTGCCACTTTACTCAACATGATGTGTTTGGTCCCATGATCATATGTGGATACTCTATCCCTTTTTATTGCTAACTAGTATCCCTTTCATGGAACCGTTGTTTGTGAATGGATATGTACCTGCTATTGCGTATGGATTTGGGTTGTTTCCAGGTTTTTTCTATTGGCAATAAAATCACAACAAATACTTATTTACTCAAATTTGTCTTTTCACCTTTGTTTTATTGTCTTTGCTAGGGGTCACAGGATAGGCACAAGTTTAATATAAAGAAAGTAGTGAAACATTTTCTGAAGTGGTTATGCGACTTTTTATCCTTGTTGACATTGAATACTGTTCCAGGAACCCAGTGGCCTCACCAATACCTGATATTGTTAGTCATACAATTTAAAGAATTCCAGTGCAGTAGTATCTCATTTTAGTGTCTCTGATGAATAGTGATGTTGAGATTTTTAAAAATTTGCTTATTGATCACTCACATTTTTCAAAGTATCTATGTTTTGCATATTTTAAATTGGATTGTTTGTGAAATCTTTGGTCAGAAAATTATACTGCAGTGTCTGTGGCTTTCTTTATTTTTTTCTTAATGAATTTGAAAGACAAGTTTTTGGTTATGGATAAAATAGAACTTATTAAGTCTTGTTTGGGTAGTGCTTTCTGTGTGGTAAGACATCCTTGAATAGCCCAGAATCATAAGGATTTTATGTTGAGTTTATTTCTTAGGTTTTAAAGTTTTAGTTTCATCTTAAAGTCAGTGATTTATTTCAAAATCTGTATGTGAAGTAGAAATCATCTCTCTCATTTTGTTCACTTATGGATATCTAGCTTAGAAAGCACAATTTGTTGAAAAGACTGTCATTTCCATGTTGAATATTTGTCATAGTTGTTGAAAATCAGTTGACTGTCTATATGAAAACATGTATGTAAATGGATTAATATAAATATATAAGTGTATGTACAAGTGAGTCAATTTATGTATGTGATTCAATTGTCTTAGGATGACATTAAGGGTTCATCCAAGGTGTTCTCTATTACTTGGAGATTATGTTTCTGTTCTACCTTTTGTCCAGCATCTCTTAACTAGTCACTGCATATGTTTTACCCAGTTTTATTCTTATTACTGTGAAAGGGCACTCTGTTATGGGAAGAAGCAGAAGTCTGGTAGAAATATACTTTTGAAAATTATTCCTCAGATATTAGCTCCCAAACTTTTGCATGTGTCTGATTCAGCTGGAGGACTACTACACAGAAATGGGTGGGCCCCACTCTTTTGAACTTGTGATTCAGTAGAATTGAGGTGAGGCTCCAGAATTTGCCTTTTCTAACACCTGACCAGGTGAGGAGATGTTGCTGTTCTGGGAGCTGTACTTTGAAACTAATTTGCTCAGGAAAATGAGTTTTGGGAGTTTATTTGAGACTTCATATATACAGATTTTACTTTGCCTTTTTTTGGCCCTATGTTTTGCTAGATAGATTTATATTTCAGTTGGTTTATTATAGTGATAAACATCTTGATGTTTTTGTTCAAAATATGATTTCCAAAAAACTTTAAGGAGTTGTTTTACATTGGAAAAGATAAAGTTCCAATTTAATTGATAGTCAAAACCAGAAAATAAGAGAACAAGTAGAGTTATTTAGTAATGAACTCTTTCCATTCTTCATTTCCTGCACAAATATAATTAGCTTTTTATCCAGGTATTAAACTTCTGGAACATGAAATTTGTTACATATAAAAATAAATATTTGATTTTTTTTCAGAAATTTGGCTTTACTTTAATTATTCTTAGACCTATGTGTATACATATGTATGTTTGTTTTGTAGATAAGATACAAAACACTGACAAATTACTTTGTTCAAACAGGATTACTGGACCCAGGCTCTATCTTTTCCTTGGAAGATTTCCTGAGAGTTTACACTTTGTCCTTTAATAGCTACTAAGATAGCTATCAAAATCCACATATACACTAGTCTATTTTGTCTGCTGTCTTTGCTGCATTTGGTCTGTCTCTCCTCATTTTTGAAGATTTAGGAACTTATACCTTCTGTATACTCTGACCCATGCATTTTATCCTAGCACAAGGATTATACTGATGTCAAGTTGGTGACTCTTGTTGATGATGCTGACATTTCTTACAGTAGCTCCCAGGACAATTACCCAGGACAGGAAGTGTCTGTCTTCTCAACAGTGTTAGAATAGTTGTCTTAGTTTAAAAAATGGATTGGTCTTACCCCTTATAATTCAAAAATAACTGGAAATCTTTTATTTACCAATCTTTTTCTTTTTCTTGAAAACTTGTTTTAATAGCTTTTGATTGCTACATTAGAATGCTGTGTAGGATACTACATTTTGAATATTGTCTCAGATGCAAAATGTGATTAATAAAATTTTAACTTGAGCATAAGAGATCCGTTTTGAAGTATTTTGATACAGGGATAGTGAAATCTAAATACTAATAATTACTAAATACTAATAATCCAAAACTCATGTTAACAGGTTCATTTTGATGGTTGGGACCATAAATATGACTACTGGATAGAAGCAGACAGCCCTGATATTCACCCTATTGGATGGTGTGATGTGACTGGGCATCCCCTGGAAGTGCCATGTAGTGAGTATTTTGCTCTATTGTTGGTTTTTAAATGCTTAGCCTGAATTCGAGCCTAAAGTTGCTTACTCATGTCATTATAGGCATTTGAAAGCCTAATATCAGTAGGTAAACTAATTACTCATCACTACAGCTACACTGAAAGCCAGTTATTCACAAGCAAGCCTCAGAGGACATGCTTTATATAAATAAAAAGTAATAATCACTATAAATTATTTTGAGGGTATTTTCTAAAGGAAACTTTATTTTTTGTATTTTAGTTTGGAAAGCTGAGTCAGCATGTCTAAATACACCTGATTTTGGTCATTGCTTTTGGCTGAAGTCAGCTTTATTTTAACATCCCATATTAATTTTATTGTATACATTAGAATGTAAAAAGTTTTCAGAAAAGAAAACATTTCAAATATTTTATATTTCAGTCATTAAGAAAAAATTAGTTACAAAAAAGCCCTATTTTATTAGTATCTTCATTATAGCTGCCTTTCTGGTTTAACTTAAGGAGGAAATTAAGCACTCTAAATTCTAATGAGCCTTGAACCAAAATATCTTATTCTTTTGTCTGAAGGAGTCCTCTGATCTGATTAGGCTGACATGACTAATAACTAGTTCCAGACATAAATGCAGACATTCTCCATTCTTCTGTTTGTTTTGTTCCCTCACTGCTTCTCTTTTTCTCCCTCTGGCTTCTGAAGATGAAGCTAGAATGCTATTCTGTTAATGAGGGTGCTGTACATTGAGCCAGCCTAATACTGATGCGTGAACCTTAGACCTAAAAGACTAACTACTTCTAGAAAGAATTCCTTAATGTTCTGTAAAAGTGAGAAGAATCCCTGACCCACTATTGGACAAATTGTTTTTACATTGGGCTGATTCCTCAAACACAATCAATTGGATGAAAATCCTTGTTTAATTTATGGGTATTTATTTGCAAACTTAGCATCTTTATACAGAGAATGCAAAGCCCAGGAGGCTGCAGCCAGCACTCCGTGGGAGGATTCCAGGTAGTGAAAAGTGTCTGTGTTTGTTTTTCCCTGGCTCCACTTTTTATTCTCCATGATTCCACACTCCAGGCATGACAGGGAGGTGGTTTTCACTTGATGTTAACCACCTGCTCTGGCTCATCCCCAGATAGCCAGCCTTAACCCAGTAACTTTGTCACCTAGGAATGATGGCAGCTGGGGTAGAGATCGGTAGATAGATTATGGCAGTTAGAGGGTTAGCTGTCTTCACTCCATCTCACCCCCTCTCTTGCTTACCTGTCAAGCTGCCCACCTCACTTATCTACAGAATGTTTCAAACATCCCAAAGTCTATGAATAAAACCCAAACTGCTTCTCAAGTGAAAACTTGATCTTTCCACTGTAATTCCTACCTGCTTCCTAAGTTTCTTCTCCTTGCAGAGTCATTCAAGGCTCCACTCCTTTCTTGTCCTTTCTGTAAGCCATACACACCATCAGTCACCACATCCTGCTGTCTCTTAATTTACCCAGAGTTCATCTTGGGTTCCCACTCCCCTTCTCAATGCCATTCTGTTATTTTGAGCTTTCTCATCATAGTTACAGATAATCTGCAGAATGTGGTCTTCAGTGCTTGATTTTGTTATAAATTTGTTTAGATTTTGTTATAAATTTGTTTAGATGATTCATTATTAATATGGCTTAGTATATGTTGCTTGGTTAACCCTATGGTTGTGCTTATGCATACCTGAGTCATAATGTTTATATCTTACTGATTTTTAAATACCTAGATTTTACAGCATCCTTGTGATATGGCTTGGTGTGTATTGGTCATGCCCATAATGTGAAAGCAAGCACACATACGCACATGTGCACTCACACACACATGCATGCATGCACACCATCCCACTCCAAAATCACTCCTGTTCTTTATTTATGTGCCACTGAATCCTTTCTCAACTGGAGAGTAGAAACAAATGGTTGTTCTAGGTATTCAGACAAAAAGAAGTTTGAGGGTCTGGCACTGACTGTTGCCATAGCTTTATGACTGTCGTTTTCCATTTCTTTCCTGAAATAGCCTGTGTACAACCCAAAAGTCATTCTCTCCAATCTTAAAATTTGTCATTGGGACCAAGCTCTAGATCCCTTTATGTGTACACAATACCCCTCATAATCTATACTTTATAGCTGTGCCTGAATCTTCCAATCTTTTTCTCTAAAAATCCTTCATGTATATCAAACAGATACACTCTTAGAAACTTGAATGTCAGCTTCCTAAGGTTCTGCAGACAATACACCACCTTTCCATTACTTTGCTCCATATCTTAGCTCTCTTTACATAGAAATGATACCCCTCAGTTGGTGTCGAATCCCTGTGGGCTGAGGAATTGACGGGAGTAATGTCTCTATAATATAAACTATATGTAGATACTTGACTTTTCTCCTAAGCAAATATTATATGGATAATACTTGTACAACCCACCATATCAAATAATTTTCATTTCTGAGTGCTATTTTCAGTCAAAGCATTGATCTTATAATACAAAATAAACTTTTCCTACTATAGTGTTGAGTATTCTGTGATCAAATATCAAAATAATTGGATCTTTGTAATTAGATCTATAAAACAACAGTTTTTTATCACAAATGAACAGGTTAGGTAATTGGCCAACATTAATTTCCAGATATTTTCACTTTCATATCATTTTTGGATTCTGTTTTGTTGTCATTGTTATTGTTGTTGCATTTCTATAACTTAACAAGCACTTTTGGTACTTTTACTACAGTTTTGGTGAGTAAACACTGTAAAGACCACTTAAAGTTTAGAGCCAAAGAAATCTTAGAGATTGTCTAATCTAGTCCATCATTTTATAGTGGTAGGCTTGACGTGAAATTTATCTGTTTTATTGATTTGCATTAGTGATTTTTTAAAAAGTGGTCACAGTAATTTGCCAGTGATGTTTATATGACAATAAGAATAATCAAAGAAAATATGACGTAGATGGCTTTTTTTCTGTTATTTTCATGTGTTTTTCTTTGTTAAGATTTTTCACCTCTTTTTTTTAACTTTTATTTAATGAATATTAATTTCCAAAACACAGCTTATGGATTACAATGGCTTCCCCCCCATAACGTCCCTCCCACCCGCAACCCTCCCCTTTCCCACTCCCTCTCCCCTTTCATTCACATCAAGAATCATTTTCAATTCTCTTTATATACGGAAGATCAGTTTAGCATACATTAGTAAAGATTTCAACAGTTTGCACCCACATAGAAACACAAAGTGTAAAATACTATTTGAGTACTAGTTATAGCATTAAATCTCAATGTACAGCACATTAAGGACAGAGATCCTATATGAGGAGTAAGTGCACAGTGACTCCTGTTGTTGACTTAACAAATTGACACTCTTGTTTATGGCATCAGTAATCACCCTAGGCTCTTGTCATGAGTGGCCAAGGCTATGGAAGCCTTTTGAGTTCACTGACTCTGATCATATTTAGACAAGGTTGTAGTCAAAGTGGAAGTTCTCTTATCCCTTCAGAGAAAGGTACCTCCTTCTTTGATGGCCCGTTCTTTCCACTGGGATCTTACTTGCGGAGATCTTTCATTTAGGTTTTTTTTTTTTTTTCCCCCAGAGTGTCTTGGCTTTCCATGCCTGAAATACTCTCATGGGCTTTTCAGCCGGATCCGCATGCCTTAAGGGCTGATTCTGAGGCCAGAGTGCTGTTTAGGACATCTGTCATTCTATGGGTCTGCTGTGTATCTCACTTCCCATGTTGAATCGGTCTCCTCCGGAGCGGCCATTGGGGGGTGAATCAACGGAAAAGGAAGACCTTTCTCTGTCTCTCTCTCTCTCACTGTCCACTCCCTGTCAAAAAAAAAAAAAAAAGAGTGAAATCACACAGCTGATTATTAATGAGTAAAACTAAACCTTGATGGCTATTGTGACTGTAAAGAGTGTACGGAACACTGCAGCCTCCCTAGAATGGAGCTGAATGGCTCAGAAGGGCACTGTGGACCTGAAAAAGAGGCAGCCACTCACCTCTTGAGAGATGGAAGTGTCCAAGCACAAGCAAAATTGGAACTTTGGAACTTGTTGGTTCTTATGCAAATTAGAATTTATTAAGATTTTATAACTTTTGGGGTCAGCGCTTTGACACAGCAGATGAAGCCACCGCCTGCAGTGCCAGCATCCCATATGGGTGCTGGTTCGAGTTCTGGCTGCTCCACTTCTGATCCAGCTCTCTGCTATGGCCTGGGGAAGCAGTGGAAGATGGTCTAAGTCGTTGGGGCCCAGCACCCGTGTAAGAAACCTGGAAGGAACTCCTGGCTTCTGGCTTCGACCTGACCCAGCTCTGGCCGTTGTGGCCATTTAGGGTGTGGACCAGTGGATGGAAGACGTTCCTTCTTTCTCTTTCTCTCTCTCTCTGCCTCTGCCACTCCATAACTCGGCCTTTCAAATAAGTAAATCTTTAAAAAAATTATAACTTTCTAAATAGATTATAGTCTCTTTAGTTTTTCTAATGCCATTTAATCTCATTGAAGAAACATAGCCAAATAAAGTACATGCTATAGCTTCCAGCTTCTGCAGGAAAACTTAGGTAGTAAATTTTGACCATGACCATAATCTTTAATCACTAAAGCCCATTGTGAGTTCCTGGGAAGGTAACTAGATAAGCTGTTGAGAATGAAAATGTCAGTGTTCCAGTTCAGCTGGGAGGAGCCCAGTTTGTGTGACAAGGTGACCACAATTTCCTCTTCACTGCCCTTCCTAATGAAAGACACTTGGCTTAAATTCACCCCTTTTTCCTGCTAGTGGAATGTGCTCTCCTTTTCTTATGAGGATGTGATTTGTCTGTTTTACTGGACCATCCTTCATGGTGGACTGTTCTACAGTTACAATCAAAACTGAACATGAAATATTTGGCACTGTTGAGTTGTCATGATCTTACCATCATGCTGTGTGTACCTTGGGTGTTCTTAAAAAGATATCAGAACATCAGAACCAAAGGCCATCCTACCTTGATTATCTAACTGGATTGGC